TTCCTGTCTTGTCTTTTTATTTTAATGCAGATCCCTGTATCAAGCCTAAGGGACACAGTCCTGGAACTGGCAGTGTTTGATGAACACAGGAGGAAGTTCGATAATTTCAGTACACTAATGCTAGAATGGAAATCGTCAAATGAAACACTAGCTCATTTCGATAATTATAATTCAGTGGAGATGGTGGCAAAGGATGATGGCAGTGGGCAGACGCGGTTACACGGTACTGTGAAAACTCAACAGATCCTTTCATATACCTGCCACATGATTATGCACTAAGTATTTCCTTATGGGTGACGGTTTATTTTAGATTTTATCTTCTCCCACCTTTCATCTTTGATCTTTGTATTTTTTTAGAAAACGTAAAGGTAGATTTCCTTGTTTGCAAAGCTAGGGTCTAGGGTCCAACATTTCTCACAGGACATAAAAGTGAATTGGTTTTTAAATCTATTGATTGCCCATTATTTGCCTAAGATTATGGGAATATTATTCATTTGTCAGCCAATATTTATTGAGTGGCTACTACAGTAAGACCCTCTGCTAGGCACTTGGAGATATAATGGTAAATGAAGAAGATATAAATAATGTGACCACAGCCTCTGCCCTTATTGGCTTACAGTCTGATTGGGGAAGCTAGACTTTAAACACTCCAATTGTGTTAGGTGTTTTGAAGGGCAAACAAATTGTATTAGGTGTTTTGGGGTGCTTTAAGAGCTTACAACAGGAGAACCTAGTTTAGAACAAAGGTAACATATGTGCTGAGGCCTGAAGGGATGTTGGAAGGAGGAAACAGAGAGAATGAGCTGAATAAGGAGAGTGAGGCTGACTGAGAGAAGAGGCAAGAGTCCTCAGCGAGGTTTAAGAGGGCAGCAAGACCTCGTACATAATCACTCATCAGGCCTCTGCTTGTGTCACAATGGCTAATGTCCCACTCACCAAAGCAAGTCGCCTGGCCAAAGCCAGGGTCAGCGGGGATGAGGACCACTCAGGACACGGATCCCAGCAGGCATGATTCAGTGTGTGCACTTAAGTTAACAACCTATCACAAATCAATCCCCAAAGCAAAGACGACAGTGGTACAGAGGGCGACTTAAGTTTATGGCATGAGCATTTGAATGGGTGGTGTAACCATTCAACGGAATAAGAAACCCCAGAGAAGGAGATAAGATTTAGCCTTCCCCTTACGCACAGGGAGCTTAACACTGAGAAAGAACAAGAGCTTAGCTAGAGAACGTGGCAACGCAATGCTAATATGGAGATAATGCTGTAACAGTATAATACCAATGTATGTACAGTTTAGTGTAAAAGTGGTAGAGAAGAAAGACACTCCCTATACCTTCTAACAATCAATTACCAGATCCCATCAGTGTTATCTTCTAAGTACCTACTGGATTCATCCCTCCCTCTCTGACTCCATCCCGATGTCCTGATCACTGATCACTGATGACCTCATCACCTCTATCCTGCCCCACCGCAGTAGCCTCCTAACTGATCTTGTTGTGTCTCTGCTTCTCTCTAAGCCACCCTCCACACTACCGTCCAGACTCATCTTTCTAAAATACAAATCTGAATCTCTCTCTTAAAAGTATTATTTTTGGCTACTATTTAGAGAGCTCTTACAAAATGCCAGGTACTGCACTAAATACTTTATATACATTTTCTCATGCAATCCTCATAACAACCATGAGAGACCAGCACTATTATCCTGATTTTGTAAGTTTACTCATTCCTCAACGCTTCTTGTGTTCTTACTGAATTCTAGGCACAGTTTTAGGCCCTGAGATTATTACAGTTAATAGATGAAGCAGCAGACTGTCTGACATCAAAGCCTACAACCTACACCACTGACTATGCTGTCACCATATTGTCTTCAGGGACAATGGTCTTTCAGGATAAAATTCACATGCTGCAGCTTAACATACTTCATCATATGTTGAAGATAAAATCAGAACGTACCTGCATAAAGTGGCAGATGCATGTTAGTGAAATTTTTAAAAAGAAAGGAAAAAAATTAATGAGTAAAAGCGGGATCAGATTATGGAAAGCTTCAAAAGTAGTTTAAGGAGTTTGGATTGTTCTAATAAGGGATAGTTAGCCATTTTAAATTTTTGAGTCAGGGACTGACATGACATTTACATACACAAAACATTGGGTTGTCAGAAAAGTCATGACGTATTTTTTTCTGTTTTTCATTGCAAAAATGCATCATGACTTTTTTGACAACCCAATAGTTTAGGAGACTGAAAGTCCCCAAAGGACTATCTCTGTGTTTCTCACTCTCATTTTTAAAACAAACAAAAATTTCGCTATACATCCTTGTCAGCCTATCTTTGGACTCACAGACCCTTAGAGCTAGAAGAATTGTAGATTTTGCCAGCCCCATCCCTCATTTAATAAAAGAACTAAGAAATAGAGTGATGGCCCAGGGTCACGTAGGAATATAGTGGCAGAGTCAGCACAAACACCCAGCTTGCTGATTCTTGTGTATTTTCCCACTCAGTATTTTTCTGTCCCTGTGATAAAACACCATTTGAAAAAAGCTAAGGCAGCATTTGGCTTTTTAGAGATGCTTCCATGCTCCGCGTGTCATTGTACTCACAGGGTATTTCTCTGCACGTCTTCAGGTCATCAGCTCCTCAGAGCACATCAGATAAAAGGAACGGTACACATCGGAGTCAGTTTTGTGGGCTATCCAGAGCAGAAGAGTCCAGAGGTAAGTGGAGATTGTGATATAAGAAACAGCAAGCGAAATAACTGAAATTTCAGGCTGTTCTTTAAAAGGCGTATGCAACTGATGTAACTCTGGGCACTGAGCTCCTCGATGATTCTGTTGTCTTCGGCACTTGAAAGAGTTCTGGAATCTTCTCTCACTGAGCTGAGGAACTGAAAGTGTATATTCACCTTTGTGCTTCTTACTGCCTTTCTAGGAACGCTCCAGCCTGCCCAGATCTGCATCCGTGGAGCTGCTCCTGGTGGAGGACGTGACCGTGATGCCTGAGAATGCCACTATCTACAACCATCCTGATGTGAAGGTGGGAGCTGAACGGGGCTGCTTAAATGGAATCATATCGGACGGGACAGTACTAGGCTATTAAAATTCACAGCATAACAATTAAACAGCTTACATATGTGTTGAAAATCATGGATACACATATGCACTTACAGTAATTAATATCCTCAGCAGTTTACACTTTAATCATATTTTGTCTGTGGTCCGTTGACTTGAATCTTTTAATCCCATACTCTTTCTTAGTTAGATAGTTCTTTTCTTTGAATTATTTATAAACCAAAGGGAATGGAATATTGTGTGTCTGATTTTTCCACAGGAAATATTTAGCCTTGTGGAAGGATCTGGTTATTTTTCAGTCAACAGCAGTGAGCAGGATGTTGTCACCATCACTTACATGGAAGCAGAAAGCTCTGTCCAGGTGAGTTCTAGAGACATTTCCCAGACTGGCCAAAGCCATTTTAAGAAAATGGTTGGAAAAATTCTATTGGGTGTCTCAAACTAGTTACAAAAGTAACATTTGTTTCTTTTTCTTTTTTTAACCTATATAGATTCTTCAACCAAAAATGAGTGTTGTTTGTTTGTTTGTAGCTAGCTGCAATACTGGGCTTTTTTTTTTTTTAATTGGGGAACAGTATATTTTTACAGGACCCATCAGCTCCAAGTCAAGTAGTTGTTTCAGTCTGTTGGGTTGTCGGAAAAGTCATGACTCATTTTTGCAATGAAAAACAGAAAAAGTACATTTTGACTTTTCCGACAACCCAATAGTTGTGGAGGTTGCATCTCAGCGGCCTATGTGGGGATCAAACCGACAACCTTGGTGTTATGAGCCTGTGCTCTAACCAAGTAGCTAACCAACCGCCCCAATCAATACTGGGCAATTTTTTATTCTGGTTGAGCTGAGACAGTATAAGAGACATCTAATTATAAGATTTCCATTAAAAGAAGGTTCATTTTGGGCCCGCCGAGTGGCATGTTGGTTAGGAGTTGGCTTGGGATGCCAGCTCTGAGCAGCAGGGCCCTGGTTCCGATCTTACATGAGAGCCAGTGACGCTGTGCCCTTTACAGCTAAGATGGTGAAGAACAGCTTGACCTGGAGCTGGGCTACTGTGAGTCGCCAGCAACAACGTAGGCTACAGCGGGGCTGCAGTGGGCTGCCGTGGGTTACTGTGAGTGGCTGGCAGCCGGCATGAGCAGCCGGCAGCCAGCGTTAGCTGCCAAGAGCCACCATGAGCGGCCATCCAGTGGCCGGTGAGCAATCTGCCTCACCTGGGAAGAGCGCAATGATAATACCAACATGGGCCAGTGAAGCGACGTCTTCCACAACTAGACTGAAGAACAAAAGGACAGCAACTTGTCTGTTCCCCTTTCCCGATTCCCCAGTGCTGTTCCTACCCCCCAATTCCCC